GTTGGTGGGTTGTGTCATTAATGTAGTTTTAATTAGTACTGGCAGTCTGCTAATGCTCGAAGTTTTGGGGTCACATAGTTTGAGAAAAATGTGTTTTAGGCATCTAGCTCAAGATTTAAAAAGCATAGGGGGTAGGGGAGACAATTATTTCTAAATCCAGATTCGGTGCCAAGTATTTTATTTCTGCCTTTAGCAGAACTTCTTCTTGCTCGGTATATGTAAATGATACCAGTTTTTCAGTTACCCATGTTGGAGTGCACAGCTTTGAGCCAAGAGCTTGGCAGTGTGGATTCTGAATGTATCCATACTGGAAAATTATTTGAGGAGGTCTTCAAACTAGTTTTGACCTCAGTGAAGATAATTAACTGGAAATAAATTTCTGACATTTGAATTAGTGTATTAATGCAGTTCTTGGGGAGAACGTTAAATGGGATTGGGGAGATTTATGTATTTGGTCCTACTTTTGAGTCCCACTGGAATCGTACCCAATTCTGATATCCGCAATTCAAGGTCACTTAAAAAATGTGAGAACTTGGAGGGTAGTCACAAGATGAAGTATGATTTGGTGGAAGGTTATAAAGAGCAAGACTGGGTTTTTTGGCAGGGAGTTTAAGGAGTGACTTCTCAGTCTATAAGTACATACATGGAGACTTGAAATCTATGTGAAGCCTGTTCAGTCTAGCAAAGGTACTGTGAGATCCAGCTGGTGAAGGGTGGAACTAAAGATGTCCAGGCTAGTAAGTACGTATTTTTAACAGTGACAGTAATTAGTTAATGGAGTGGCTTGCACAGAATGGTCAGGTCTCACCACTATTTTCTAAAGTTTAAATTTCACTGTAAATAAATCAACTTCTATGTATGTTTTAAGTGAAGATCAGACTAAGCATTTGTTATGGTTTCTTTGAGCCTCAGCCTCTATAAAGATTGAAGAGTAGCTGTTTGAGGCTGGAATACATGGTCATTTACATGTTTTGGGCAATATTTTTTGGATTCTTTGAAAAATACGTGTGCATTTTGAGTCTCCTGTCCCATGAACGCTGGATTGTAGATATGCTTTAGGGTTAATTCTTAAGAAAGTGTGAGATACAGTGGCTTTTCATTGGTATGCTGAACCAGGTGCTTGAAAATTTATGAGCAAGTTATTAGGCTTTCTCAAAAATTCCATGGTATTTGTAATTTAGACTAAACATTGATGTTGAAGAGTGGTAATAAACAAATGCAGCCTTTGCTGTACCTCAACAATGTTGTACTTTAAATTGTGTCTCCTCCTAAAAAGGAGCAGGTGTGGAAAAGGTCTAGGACTTACAGATGAGGAAGGAAAAACTCTTGGTGGGGAGAAGAATGTAATCCAAAAATGGAATTGGGTAACGATACAAACACCCACGTGATTCGTTAGCACTTTTGTCTTGGATGCTCAAAGACTACTGGAGCATTTGCGTTGAGTATCCTTACAAAGAGTGGCAGAGTTTGTATGGAACACCTGTGGGGTCAAAATGTGGGGTGATGTGACTATACTGAATAGAGAGGAGACTTGAGTTTCAGCTGCTGTTCTGGTAAACACCTGTTTGTATGAAATGTATCTACAAGAGAGAAAACTGAGACATTATTATAGCTTTGTCTGGCATCTGTGTTATTCACCCAAAACCTGGGCAATTGCTTCAGAATACCCACGCTAGTCGTGTCAGTGAAGATTCAAACTTGCTCAAAGCTCATAGAAACGTAATTAACTAGTTAGCAGAAGTAGCAGCATAGCTGGGGCAACGCAGTCTATTAATATTCAAGCTAGCAAGCTTAAAGCTAGTTCAGTTATGTCTAAGCAAACTGTAGCTACACCTTTAAACTGTCTAGATCACATTTGAAGTGCGATTTATTATTATTATCTCAGAATAAAACAAAAATGTTTCTTTTAGAGTGTCCATGAGAATACAATGTGTTTTCATGTACGTGTGGATGAAGCCAATCGTAACAATGTTCTGAAAGCGTGGAAGGACTTTCAACCCGTGTGTTGAGAGTTACAGGTGGAGCAGATGACTACGTTACTGTGTCAGCTTTTATTGGATTTATATTTACATAAATATCCTTAAAGATCTAGTGTAATCGGCTTTTCTTAGTGATTTCAACATGAAGTGCTTAGTGTATGTTGAAGGATAATCAGGTAGCTCACTCTAAAGGAGGAGTGAGAAAGCATTTTCTATAGGAAAATGCATGGGAAGTCAATTTTGTGCCTCTTTTGCCTATGCGGTCTTTGCATATTGTTACAGTAGTCTTTACTGAATGGTTTACGTTTTGGGTCTTGACTCCTTGGCACTCGTCTGTAGCATACATGAGTTTTAAGGTCAAAGTCCAAGACACACATCTTTCTCTTTGGAAGAAGATGTGAAATTAGTGCATGTTTTCCGTATCTGTAATCTAGATAAGCAAGTGGCCCGTTACTCTGAATTGTTCAGTCTATTAATAATTTTGCATGGAATTTACATACTAAACTAAATCTTATTGACAGAATTTGGATTGCTTCCTGTTAAAATTTAGCCAGAGTTCTTAAACTTTAACTATTGATATTAACTAATGTAAAAAAGAGAAAAAGTTACTATTACACCATAAATTGTAAGACTTTGGGGTTCCTTTTTCTTCTTCTTTATTAGTTTTTGAAGACACGTTGTTGCCTGAAAGGCTTCTTCATAGAGTAAACTATGACACTAGTGAGATGGCACTTTATTCGTATGTTATATATTATACATATGTTTGGTATGGTATTTCTTGGTGTGAAGATTAAGCATTTTTATAGCTTCTCAATGGTAATTTGGTGAGGAAATCAACTTGATAGCAGTTAGGTCAGGAATGAGTATAACAGGAAAAAAGTGAGATGAGGAACGACAGAATGGAAAAAAGAGTTTGTGGATGATGAGGAAAATGGTTAAAAATAGGTAGAAGACAAAAGCATTTCTCTTTTGTGTTTCACAGAGCGAATGCTATTAGTATGCATAAAGCGTGTTTGGTGTATAAGTCCTGATGATAAGCTCTGATGTGCACACTAGGCTACTGAATTCAGGTAATGCAGGTTGCTGATGTCTGGTCATTAGGTGGAAGTTGATAGAGAAGGCCTGGCATAATTTGTTCCCTTTGTGTCTTTGTTAGAAGCTTGCTCAGTGTATAGAAATCTACTCAGGTAAGAGTAATTTCAGATGCTGTAGTCTGTAAAAAAAAAAAAAGAGGGCCTTTTGTGTAAGTAGTGAAGTAACCATTGTTAGTTGAGATTTCATTTAGAGCTTTTAGTTATTTTGCTGATACTGCTTCAGGAGGTGATGTGAGAAAACACTGTAGTGTAAAAGAATACAATAATCTTATTGAAGAAGCTTGCTAGAGACTTATTTCCCTTAACTGGGAGGGCTTCCAGTTTTGTAAGCCCATATATTTCTTAATTCAGTTCAACTGATGACCAGAGACTGCTTTTTTCTTTAAAACTGGGTTTCTTTTTTCATCAGTTTTAGATCTTCCTTTCCAACTTCACTGGTTTCTGTTCTTGTATTAAATAATATTTTTCAGCTTATAATTCGTAGTTGTCAGCTAATTTAATTTCTTTGGGTTGTATCTGTAGATTGTTCATTCTTGAAGTGTTTCGGTGATGTAAATATATTTAAATGTGAAACATTAAAAATACACCATTTTATGCACTTCATAGTCTCACTTCTGTGAGACCATGAGTTTAGGTCAGAAGAAATTGTGATTAGGCTTCATCAAGCACTGTCCGCTCTGAGCGTAGGTTAACTGACAGCTCATTTTAATATATTAGCATTTTCTTGAACAGTTACTTATATATAAAATGTAACCCCACCCTTTGCTGCTTCTAAAATGACAGTGTGTCTAAGCATGTAAAGCATTTAACTTGTAATTATAGAAAGATGTTTATGGTTTTGTAGTTCAGGCTGTGGTCTTTCTGCATTCTACCAACCCTGGTTAGACAAGTGCAGTTATTCAGAAACTAAATCCCTGCGCCTGAAAATACATCCACTGCCTTTTTTCCAATGAAACATTTTAGGAACATTAGATGCTGTTAAGTAGAGTTTTCAGGTATCACAGTGCAGTAATCAAACCTTTACATATCAGCATAAATGTCCGAATGCAATGGATTGGGTCAGTAGAATTTTTTTCATGTGGAATGGCAAGTATCACTATCACATGTAGTTTTGGGGGAGCATGATTCAAATTTAGCTAGGATTGTTGGTGGTGATGCTTTTTTAGTATCTGCTGTAAACTACTAAAATATTAAAAATAAGAATACATTTTTTAAAAGTATTTGGGGTGCTGCTACATCTTTCCAGCATATATCTATTGCACTAATACTTTGGGTACTAAAGTATTAATACTGTCAGTGAGCCACTTGATAGTAGAAAGGAGCTATGAATCTATTAAGACATCTGTCTTATCAGTCTTCCTTAGGCCTCTGGACAGCACAAAGTATGTCAGTACTGCATTGATCACGGGTGTTCATAAACTCTAAATTATGTAGGAAATACCAATTTTGCTTCTTTATCTCTTTGTCAAGAGTATCAGCTCTGCAGGCAAATTTCTTGAACTGTGTTTTGCATTCCATGAAATGCTGTACTCTGTTCAGTAAACTGAGCATCAGTTAGTTATCCCTTCGAATCACAGAATCATTTTGGTTGGAAAAGACCTTTAAGATCATCAGGTCCAACCATTATCCTATCACCACCAAGCCTACCACTAAACCATGTCCCTAAGCACCACGTCTATATGTCTTTTGAACACCTTCAGGGATGGTGACTCCGCCACCTCCCTGGGCAGCCTGTTCCAATGTCTAACTACTCTTTCAGTAAAGAAATTTTTCCTAATATCCAATCTAAGTCTCCCCTGGTGCAACCTGAGGCCATTCCCTCTTGCCATGTCATTAGTTACTTGGGAGAAGAGACTGACACCTTCTTTGTCTGCATGAGGTAGGTAGGAACTGCATCTTCAGGGTACTTTTTTTTTTTTTTTAGAAGATGCACATACAACCCTTGCTTGGTACACAGCTGTTCTCAGTACCCTGTGAGTATTTGTACATTGAGCTAAGACAAACCCGAAAGTTTTTAGAACAGGGTGTTGAGGTTAAAGAGAAGGTAGGTTTGTTTCCCTTTAATTACAAATAAAAAAAAAAAGAGGGGAGGGGGAGAGAAAAAAAGGCTGATATTTGAGTCCCACTGGAACGTAGCCTTTGTTCTGATTCTTTAGATTTCCAGACAAAATTATAGTTTCCTGGTTTTAAGTGTTATTTTTAACCTTAATCTTCAGTGTTCTCACTTACTGATTAGATCTTTCATCCTAACAGTGTTGATAATCTTTTGATAAGGGGTTGCGGGCAATTTGTCAGGTAAGAGAAGTTGTGCAGTACATGATTGAGTTGAGTGATCAGGCTGATACAATTACAACTACGTTGCTGAATTCCTTTCAATATGTTTAATAAATTTGGCTTTAAGGGATGTGACTATGTCTGAAACCCTGCTTGTTCAGATGCCGAGCTAAATATTAGCCTGTAATTCCTACTTGGATGTTCAAATCATTGTGGGTTTTCTGGCTTTTTTGTTTGTTTGTGGTTTTGAGTGGTGTTTTGGGGGTGTTTTTTTGTTTGTTTGTTTTGTTTTGTTTTCCTAATCTAGGATGAAACAGGTGCCTATTTAATAGACAGAGACCCGACCTACTTCGGGCCAGTGCTGAACTATCTCAGACATGGGAAACTGGTTATTAACAAGGACTTAGCTGAGGAAGGTAAGATGTTACTAAATCTCTTGCTTTCTTGTCACTTACTTACTATTTTCACTGCTTTTGAGTCACCAGAAGTAACTTACCAGTAGATGGTAAATCTTAATCGGAGTAGCATTTCAATCTGTTTTAAGTGAAGTTGATAGGTATCATGCAGTTACGGTATATGCTGCTGAGTGGTTTGGGTACGATTACTGATTTTACAACCCCCATCCCTCGTTAGACATAGAATATAAATATTCAAACATGAGGGGAAATGCCTTTTATCATATAATCTTGTCTCTTTCCTGTATGACTGAATGAAATATTTGGGTTTATTTTGGCTTCTCCCTCTCTATCCCCAGTTCATATCAGTTTTACCCTAATGGATGATGACTGTTTTAAACCATATAGTATTAAAACTGTGTTGATAAGGGGCTGAAGAAATCGATCAAAGAGAGATCAGTCGAGCAATATTAGCAGGAAATAATGTGAAATATAATTTCCATGCGCAGTGTTAAACACATAATATCTGTGGAGAACAGGTAAGGCTTGAACATGTGAGTGGGAGCAGTCTGTTGTATGTATCTTTAAGCTTTTGTTTCAGGGTCTAAGATCTGAAATGACAGGAAGAAAAATTCTCTGCATACTAGCAGCTGCAGAGCATTTCAGTAGGAGCATTTGAATTTCTCTTTTGTATTCCAGCCTGAGATGGGGCCTGAGCTATGGTTGTCTATAAGTCTGCTATGGAATGGCGTTTGTGCTCTTTTTTTTGTATCCTGCCTCTCATTCTGTATGTGAAATGGCATCCATTTTCTTAGGGTTCTTTTTAGGACAGTTTTTTAGAACAAGCTAAACTCTGAACTACATGTGCCCGAAGGAAGGCAGAATCATTAGGCTGGTAAATGAATTTTTCCTAGGGCAAAATAAATCATTTTCTGTAGCTGTAGAGGAGATAATCTTAAGAACTGGTTGGTGGTTTTGGCCTGGAATCTTTGGTTGCACTCTCTTTCCAAAAAATGTTCTCATACTAGGTGTACTGGAAGAGGCTGAATTCTACAATATCACATCACTAATAAAACTGGTAAAGGACAAAATAAGAGAGAGAGACAGCAAAATCTCGCAGGTGAGGCTGTTTTCTAGTGTGTTTTTGATTATTTGTTCTATGGCAAATAGTGGGTGGGTTCCGGTTTTTTTCCTTAATTGCGCATTTCCCCAGTAAGATACTGAATGACTGCCTCCATCACTGGCTGAGCTGTAGCCATTAGTATGCAAAGATTAATATTCTTAATCGCCAGTACCCACCAGAGTGCTTACAGAAAGCACAGGCATATGGTTCCAGTTCTTGTTCAAAAACTGAATACTTTCTAAAGAATTGTTCCAATGTCTGGTAATAGTAGAATTTGTCATAATGTTGTTTCTGGAAACAGTTATTTTAGAAAACAGCTTTTGTAGAATATGTTTTTCTCATATACATTTACATAATGAGATTACTTAACTACAGGGTAAGTGCTGTGCTGTTTATACAGTGTGTTTAATACAGCATGCGTACGGATGCTGTTTAGCTCCTGTCATATGCTTTTATAGCAAAGATAGTTTCTTTATTTGTAGTGCTGTATAGTTGAGAAGACTGCCTCCTCTCATAGCAGCTCATGAATATTTCTTCATGAAAGTGACTATGATAGAGAAGCTGTTAAGTAAGGAACATACTCAAATTTGTTCTTCAGCTCTGCTACTTTGGCCTTCTCTGATAACTGAGTCTTCATGGAGGTATTAAAAACTCATGATGCCAAATTTCTCTTGAAGCTGGGTTGTGGGATAGCAGAGTTGTTCTGATAGTATTTTCTGAAGCGTTTCAGCTGAAATAGTCCTAGTTATTCATTGATCTGGATGGGAAACTTTGACATGGAAATAAAGACTTTTTTTAATATGGTCAGACATTCCTTAAAGTTAGGTAGGCCTCTGCAGAACCTGAACCTTGAGTTTGAGTGATGTGGTTTAGCTACCACGTGGAACGACAGGTAAGTCTTAAGATTATTTTGTTGTAACTGTTGAGTAGCACTTTTAGTCCCTGAAACATTCATGAAGCATTGAGTCTTCTGCAAGGTGATTCTGAACAGATGAGATTTCTTTAAAAAAAAAGGCGAGGTGTTCAATGTGGTGTTGCTTACTGTTTCTAAAGAATAAGGGCAACTTTAGACAAGTCACAAACGTAGTGAATTCCATGCTGTATTGAGCCTCTTGTATTTCTTTTTCAAGGTGCCAGTCAAACATGTGTACAGGGTGCTGCAGTGCCAGGAAGAGGAACTCACTCAAATGGTTTCCACAATGTCCGATGGCTGGAAATTTGAACAGGTAAAAAACCCATATGGGATAGAATTTCAAAGTCTTCTAAAAATTCAGTGTATTAAAGAGGAGCATGCAGTCAATTATATGCATCTTTTAAAGTTCAGTCATTTTCAGAAATTGGATAGGTAAAGATACACAGTTAAGATAAATTTGATATTTGTATTCTCATTTGTCAGAGAACAAAAAACCTGTAGCTTTCCAGGAGGTAAATTGTACTGACTTTCTATGAAAACATCTGCATCATGTTTGAAATGTAGTTCTTTGCAGTCTACACATGAGCATTTGAAGGGTGACTAAACCAAAATTAACTAGTACAAGTTTATACAAATAGTAGGTGAGGTATAAAGAGCTCTGGCTAAAAGAGATGAGCTTGGGACATAAATGTTTGTCAGGCCCAAACAATGGTTCTTCAGATAAAGGACTGATACACATAGGAGGGTGAACTTAACTAGCGTGGATGTGAAGCTGGATAGCTGTGAGCTTTTTGTTCTTTGCACTACATAAAAATAGCTTTGTGTGTACATTCAAGAATACATTGTAAAATTGCAAGATTTTCTGTTATCTTTTCTGATCTCTGTAAATGAGAAACTAACTGCGTGGCCTCTTCATTCTTCACGTTCTTAACCTACCAGAATATTTAAACTGCATTGGAGCAATGAATCTGTTAACTCTGGAGTGAGACACAAGTGCCCAGCTGCCAGCATCTTTTTCAGTGTCTGGTGACTAGAATAAGCACAAGCCTCTCATCCTGTGCAGTCTCGCTCTAATAACACAACAAAGCGACATTTTAAAAAAGTATGGCACACAAAAGTAAAAGAGAACGTTTTGTTTATATTTGATGAAATCTGTAAGGTGCTGCTGTCCTGAGACAGCCATGATCACACAAGTTAAACCAGCACAGAGAAAGCTTCTTAGGCTTCAGTTCTCTGGCTTAAGTATTACCAGGTCCGTTTGGCATGCCAGAAGCTGAGTGTTTAAGTCCCTGCAAAATGCTCTCCCTTAATGCATGTGACTTTTTTTTTGACCAGTGCATTGACAAAGTTTCTTTGACATTCTTCTTTGTCATGAGAAACTAGCTTTCATTACAGAGATTCTTTACTTCTTAACAGATTAAATGGTACTGTGGCTCTTACCTGTCCTAAAACCTTGTATTCTTTGGGGATAGTGTGTTTGGGAGTAATACTGCTTTGACAGTGCAACTGCTGAAAGAACTATTATAATCTCTTTTAGAATTGAGTATCTCTTTCAGAACTGGAAAATTCCAGTGGTTTTCTTGAATGTTATGTCCTTGTTTCATCCAGCTTTCTCCCTACTTCCTCCTTGCCCCATGTTGCTCTCTCTTGGACACATAGTTTGAAGTAGATAAACACAACGGCTGTATGGTCTCATGATACTCAGCTTCGCATTGCCTCACACTAGGCTATTCTCTCCTTTGGTTATATTGCAGACCTGCTTTTAGTAGACATCATTTACTTGAAACATGATTAGACTGTTTTGTGTAATTGGAACAGTTTTATTGTTAAGATTTGAGAACATTGTAGCAGTTCTGTAATTTTTTTATCTTCTCTAAACTTGTGTTGCTCAGCAACGTGCTTCCTTCAGAAGCAGTCTTTGGGATGGCACCTCTTATCCCCCTCTTCAGAGGGATAGAAATCATCAGCTTTTTCAGAGGAGTAATATTCCTATGGGTTGAGAGTTCTTGTATTCTGTGCCCCATATAACATGTTTAAGTGGTTGGTTTATATAAAAAATATTTCTTTCCCCTTAACATTTCAAAATTTTCTTGTAAAATACAACTGGATGTGGTGATTAAATAGGAGTGGAAGGTGTTGAACTTCTGGCGCACTTCTGCAGATGTATCAATGCACTTTTCCAAAGAATACCGGTGACAGCACTGCTAGAATACTGCAATTATGTATCAGTCCCAGTCCAAAAACTACTGCCAATAGTTGGGCTGTCCCATTTTTGTGGTTTCAGTGGTTTATTTTGTAGATGATTTTTAGCTTCAATTATTATCTCTTCAGTCAATCAGAAAAAACAATATTTTGTCAATACTGCTTAATGAGAAACTTTGGGCTCTACAAAATTGCTATGTACAGAGGCTTTAGACAGCAGTGGTGTGTAAGTCATGTAAATTTTAATGGTTAATGTAACCTGAGTCTGTCACCATAATGCTGTCTTATATATGTTCACTGTATGAGGAGGGTGGTGTTTAGCTGCTGCCTTCAAAATTATTCACATAACAATAGCAGGATAAAAATAAATTTACTGTTCATGAGCCTTCTCATCAGTAGTAATCTCCAGTTTACTCAGAATAGGCAACTGTTGTCTAGTTATTCACACTTAGATTAGAGCTCTAATCTTTCTCAAGTGCACTGACAGGCTATGCTTTAATGTAAATGGGCTGGGAATGGCCATGTATTATTAAGATAAAATATTTTTTGTAATAACAAGTTGAGAAATTCAGTTGAGGTGGTTCTGCACTTCTGAATTACTAAACATTTGGCAAGCGTGAACAGAGTTCTTGGTACTGATTTTTGTGGGAACGAGACAATTTTTTCCACTCCAGTTATTTTCTTGGATCTTCTGTAAATTACCCCTTCTAAACAAATTTAGAGCACTCAACTTTTTTTCCTCTGGTTGACTTGGTATGTTTCATTTTGTTTATCAATATCTGGAACAAGATGAAGTTCTTTCATACCTGGGTTTGACGTATTGCTTTACATAACACCTTCCAGTCTTATATCCACATTACCTTCTGCACTTCGCAAGTATGACAGGAAAATAATGCTCACTTTCATAACACACCAAACTTTATGTTTTTCGGAGTAGTTGGCTACACCACAGTGATATGGGGAGTTTTCTGACTTACTATCAGTAACTCTTAACTTCCCTTGAAATTACAAAGGGCTTTGCAACTGCCTCCATAAATTTCAAGTATGTTGAAATGAAAGTTGTAGCTTGATAGCAACGTGTTCTAGTGGCGAGTAAATGTTACCTGAACGTTTGAGTTCATCTGTTATTTGTACGATTTGGATAATGGTATGTGCTTCAGCTTTACAAAGGTTTCTTTTTGTGTTTTGCTTTGATTGGTTATTTCAGCTTGTCAGTATAGGTCCCCAGTACAGCTGTGGCCGGGCCCAGCAGTCAGAGTATCTGCTGATAGTGTCACGGGAAGTGAAAGGGGAAGAGAGATGCTTCCAGAAATGCTGCAGTGAGGTGTGTCACACCATTCTTTTTGCCCTCACACTGATATGCTTGGCCTCCTTGCATTTCTGCTGCTTTCAAATCATTCCACTTTATTCCTGGATGTACAGCACATAGTAATTTGTGTGTATTTGTGACTGGCTTTTATTTATATTCATGGTATTTCATTATACATTATGGATGTTCATATTGTAAAAATAATAAACAACCACACACCCCCTAGTTATTTAGTTAAAGGTTTTTCTTAAGAAGAGTTCTCACCTTCTCAATAGGTAACTTCTTTTCCTTAAATCTTCCTCCAATGTTAGCAGCCTTTGATCCATACTTATGAAGTAAAAGTGGTACAATTTAAGCATTGGGAGCCCTATAAATAAAACTTGGATTTCACTGGGTTTGGAAAGGGACATTTCTGTGTTTGTTAGTCATTATTCCAGTTTGAGTGTATTTCATCCACCTAATAGCCAGTTAAGTTCTGAGTTCGAGCGTTTTATTTCTGGTAACTCAGAACTTAATTGTTTTCTTAGGTGGATGAAATATATTCAAACTGGAACAATGAATAACAGAATTTTTCAGAAATAAAATATAGAGGAGTGAGGGGAGAACAAAACCAGCAGTTTTAAATCTTGTTTCAAGTAGAAAGAACATCCTGGGGGGTTTTGGCTTTATTTTTTGTTGTTTGGGGATTTTTTCCCCCTTGGGAAATTTTCTTGAAACCCAAATGAAGAATCATAGCTTCCCTCATTGACTTTTTAAACTGTCTCATCCTTTCTGCTCCCCTCACCCTCAGGTCACTGCTTTTTTAATTGCTGTGTTACTTCCCAGTGTTCAAGGGTCTGGGAACGATTTTTTGCTAACCAGTATTGGAGACAGTTTCCAGTTCTTTACATAGCTGTGCTCCATTGTGAAGTGTCTTATGTGAATTGATTGGGGAACGTGGTGTTCTGTAGTATTTTTCATCAATAAAATACGTGGAGTACTGAGGGAGCTGGCAGAGGAGCTGGCCGAACCACTCTCCATCATTTATCAGAAGTCCTGGTCAACACGGGAGGTCCCAGACAACTGGAGGCTTGCCAAGTGACATCTACAAGAAGGGCTGTAAGGAGGATCCAGAGAACTACAGGCCCATCAGCCTGACCTTGGTGCCAGGAAAGGTTATGGAAAGGGTGCTCACATGACATGTGCAGGACATTCAGGGACTCAGGCCCATCCAGCATGGGTTCATGAGGGGCAGGTCCTGTTTGACCAACCTGATCTCCTTCTGTGAGCAGGTGACCTGCTTGGTCGACAAGGGGAAGGCTGTGGATGTCATCTACGTGGACTTTAGTAAAGCCTTTGGCACAGTCTTCCACAGCATTCTCCTAGGAAAGCTAGCGGCTCACGGCCTAGACAGGTGCACTCTACGCTGCGTAAAAATCTGGCTGGGCGGCCGAGCACAGAGAGTTGTGGTGGATGGAGTTAAATCTAGTTGGCAACTGGTAACAAGCGGTGTCCCCCAGGGCTCGGTATTGGGGCCAGTTCTGTTTAATATCTTTATCAATGATCTGGATGAGGGTATTGAGTGCACCCTCAGTGAGTTTGCAGACGACACCAAATTGGGTGGGAGTGTCTATCTGCTTGAGGGTGGGGAGGTTCTGCAGAGGGATCTGGACAGACTGGATCGATGGGCCGAGGCCAGTGCTATGAGGTTCAACAAGGCCAAGTGCCGGGTCCTGCCCTTGGTCACAACAACCCCACGCAGCACTACAAGCTTGGGGATGAGTGACTGGAAAGCTGCCCGCAGAAAAGGACCTGGGGGTGCT